GTAATTAATTTAGCACCAAGCTTTTAAAGCTGGTGTAATGCTGAAATAATATTGCGGCAGATTTTTACGTTGTTTGATTTTTTAGAAATCCAGCATGCAACACTACCTTGCACAATTTTGCAGAAGATTTTTTCAACATTTTGTTTATTACTACTTTGAAATGAGGTCTGTGCTTTGTTTTTGCATCAATAGATTTCTGTCAGTTCAACTCATGCTCTGTGCTTTTAAGCAATTTAAACACCAATTGTGTTAACCTAAAAATTCAGATGGCCAAACCATCAGAGAGGGACATTAACAGGGCACCAGGCAGAGACTGTCCTTCCAGTTTCTTTGAACTACAGATGATAAAACACATTTTCATACTTCCCTGTGCCAAAAATGTGCTATCAGCAGCGAGATATCTTACTCCAAACCAAGCAAAATAAATAATTTTATATAGCAAACAGACAGGAAACATATTTTCCACTAGTGTGAGGCAGGGGGAATCTGTATTCCTCTAAATAAAATACTTGTTTAAATCCTCAACAAAGCCTGATGGAAGATTGGGAGGGGGAAAAAAATCACATCTGGTTCTCTCTGTGAGGGCTTACTTCTCAGTTTTTTCTTACACTATAGAGATACACATGAAGACAGGAATTCTGGGTGAAATCCTCAACAAAAATCAGTGCAACTCCACCCAGGTAAAGCTATTTGATAACCTGTGCTTCTGCTCCTTTAGAGTCCACCTGTTGTTACCATCCCACTCTTTATTAAATAAATAAATAAATAAATATTGCCTTTCTCTACCATGCAGGCAAAGGCTTAAAGAAAGACAGAGCCTAATTTAGCGCGGTTGTCAAAGCTGAGGCAACCTTGCTCATGTTCTTCCTTCCTTTCACGATCCTCAGCTGTGAACTCTCTCCTTGAGTCAGGGACCAGGCATTTTCATAAAACAAAGCCAAAGAATGTGCTTTTTCTGCTTTGGTGAGTGCATCTTTTCCTTGCCAAGCTAGCCACAGTTTGTGTATCTGTATATTCAATGTTGGCAGACAACCACTGAGCATGGACAGGATGCACCTCTTGTCAGGGGTGCCATGTCTGTCCTCGGGCACAGCCAGAGCTGGCTGCTCAGTAATCTTACTGACTCACAACCTAGTAAGCTGGTCCTATGCACAATGTGAAAGCTAGGAGGAGAAAAGATAGGCCCAGAAAGAAATAGGCTGAAGTCAGTAAGACTATGAAGTACATGGTTACCTACAAGATCAATGCTTTGGACCTTACTGAAGTAGCATTTATTCTATACAGGCGAAAGAATGAATTCTGTGTATACCTACTTCTTTAAAATTTCAACTAAGCAAGCTGTACACACACAGCGCCAAACAGCATGGGAGACAGAAAGGGAAGAAATACTAGGTGATAGCTGTATCACACACAACTGATCAATGTCACTGAATGCCAGGGCCACTCTTCAGTGTGGGTAAAACAAAGATTATTCCATTAACATTCCACCAGCCAAGGGACTTGCTAGACTTCAAAATACTCTGGTGCATTCTGACTAAATACAGCTGATAGATCTTTGAGTTAGGTTTCAAGCCATTATGTAATAAAGACTATAAAAATACTTGAGAATCATAAAAGAGTAAGGGGCCGATCCAAAGACAGTTGAAGTTAATGGAAAGCCTACCACTGATTTTATTTGGCTCTTAATAACCTCTCTGGGTACTGGAGATAGATTTCCTACAATTTATATTAAACCTCATACTGCTTATCCAAGCCAAATTACGCCAGATTTTTATACTGAAGTCCTTTTCTACATGAATCAAATACAGTGTATACAAGAGGTCAAATATGAAAGAGAATTAGGAGCTAAAACACACTAAAGATGTCATTACTTCTGAAAGCTAAACAAACTGTCAATGCTGAGTACATGTACATGGCAGCTTAAAAAATACCCTCTACAAATTTTAAAAGCATTTTGAAAAACAAATGCGTCTGAAAAGCCAAGCAATTGTCAGAAAAAGCCACCAGCAAAATAAACATGAGCAAGTATAACCTCTTGTAAAGTTGTAATGTTACCCACAGAATGGCTGAAATAAATAAACGCGTATGACCATTACTGATTGTCTGTTTCTATTTATTTGGTGTCAAAGACAGAGACGGGGGATAGAATCAAATATCTCATTCTGAACTGGAACTGGCAATGTGCTTTAGTGTGTCCTAGTGATGTTACAGGACACCAGTTTCAGAGCCGTTAAATCGTGTTTTTAAATCAAATGAACCTTAGCTAAGTTAAAAGTCATGCAACCCACAATTTGAAGGAAAGATTGGAATTTGACTGTAAGGACAGAATTGATTAGATTAGACAAAGAGTGTTAACAATTCATTGTTTCAGAAAGGACAAGCTAACTTACCATTCACATACACAAACTGACACAATTGAAAATGTTATTTTTACAAACAGAGAACTAAAAACATTAAAGGTGAGTGCAGGAGAACTCATGCCTCTCTGATGCTTTTGGATCTACCCAGAGCTGTTGGCTATCTCTCAGCCATCTGCTCCTTGCAGGAGGGGTGTTACCTGCTGAAGGCAACTCTTCCCAAACATTCAGTGCTTGGCAATGCTACAGTGACCCTTTGAAGCTTTGCAGGGAAATCCCTCCCAGCTTCCAAGTTCTGCTCACAGCTGTATTTGGAGTTATCATCCATGTTCTACCTCTGCACAGATAACAAATACAGCAACATAGTTTTAAAGGGCTTACTCAGGTTTAGCTTGCCTGCAATACAGACAGGCTTAACAGTACAGCACAGAGGATTCATGTAAGAAAGACTTCCGTTCGTACTCTTAGCTACACAGTTTGAAACAGGCGGCTTGTAATAAATCAGGTATAGTGAGCAATTTTAGATGACACTTAATGAGATTATTCTCTGATTGTTTACCTGTATTTACAAAATATCGCTAAGAAGCCCCAAGTGTCAGATCTGGGGATTCGTGGCTCAGGACAGCATGCACCCACCCAGCTGCAGCCCTCAGCTCCCAACCTCTACTTCCCCGCTCCTGTGCACCAGCATTCCCACTAATTACTTGTTATCCCAAGAAGCCTACCACAAGCCCTGCCTTTGCTCTAGGTGATCCCCTGTTTACCTTTGAGTTTAGGGCTTGGATACAACTACAAAAAAAACATTTGTGGCTTTGTCTGGAGCCACATACTTTCAAAACTCAAAGGTGATTTCTCATTTCCAGTTCACACCTGAACAGCTATGCACACATATTGGTGAATGCATGCATTTTGGCAAACACTGCTGACTGTTCTTCCTGATTTAGTTGTCTGTAATCCTTAAGCCTATTAGTCCTTTATCTTTAACCAGACTGCTCTCCACTTGCCTGCTGCCCATTTTGGGCTGTTCCCCCAAAAACAATTGGAGATAGTATTACCTTGTTAGATATTGTATAAGACACGTATATCATATATATTAAATTAATGATCTAGGGTACACAGTTATAGAGACCACACTAGCATGTTGGGAATAGAAGTGACAGATGAAGTAAGAAGTTGCTATGTTGGCTGAATTTATGAGAAAGGTCCTTTTTTTCTCGTTCACTTTTTTCCTAGGATTCCTGCTACACATACACACATGCCGGAGCTGCACAGCCACAAACTTAGGCAGATAAACCGTTAAACAAGTACAATCCAGTTGCAGCACCAGGGATTTATCATCACCAGAGTCACTGTCTTTTTTTATCTGAATTTTTAAACTTCTGCAATGACTATTTTCAGCATTGCCCAAGTCCCTGCTCCTCATCATCCAACACGTCTGTTTTCTCTGATTTATCATTGTGCTCTTCCCTCCCTAGTAAGTCGGTCCTGAAGTCAGGAAAAGCACTTCTACTCAGGCTTCTTTCAAAAAAATAATTTAGTTTATTCATAGATGAAACATAAAATCGACCTTAAACTAAATATATATTTAAAAAGCTTTACTGAACAGGCTGCGATTACTAAACTGAAAGTTAGCCTTCCTAACTTGCATGTCTCCTCCTTCATTCTTTTTCATAAAATTCACTCTGCGAAATGCCGTTCTGTGCTGCAACGTCTAATTGCTCCCTAGCAGTGGTACCATTGCTCCCTGTGTCATGTTTTCAGACAAACTTTAAACTCTTTACCTCAGGTATGACTTGGACTGCGTAATCATTTATAGTATCTTAAATCCTTCCTCCATTCGACAGTCTTGGGTTTTCCTCACAAACATCCTGCTACTTAATAGTATGTACATACAAAATTGTAGTTTGACTTCATATTCCCTCATAAGTGGAAGAGGTGTTTTCACTAGTGCAAACCAATTTTACATAACCTATGATTTACTTAATCAAAAGTATGCAAATTACTGTCTAAAACTTTCTGAAACTGCAACCTGTTGGAAAGACCTATACAGCTGTTATAAGCATGAGGCTGCCCTAGAATTACTTTCTATTTTTCATAAATTCACTGTCACTGACACACCTCTGTCACCGTGAGCGCCGAGTACTGCTTTTGGCAAGTTGTGAGCATTTTTAACCACAATATGCTCTTGCTCTGCTGTCCCGGGAAGAGGCTACAAGGGTGATAGTAGCAGAGGGAGCTGGCAGAGGAAAACCAGTACAGGAAAGATGAAAGGTATCTTTAGCCCAGCAGCCATTATTGCCACCTCTTTGGTCTCCTGCATGATCCATGATGAAAGGTGTTAATCCTCCTGTAAAGACCACTCCATCATGATTAGCAGGGGTCAAAGAAGTAGCTCAATGTTTAAATTTTGTAAAAGCTTCTCACGTCTCTCTTTCTAGGTCCATATTTTGTAACTTCTTTTGCAAAATACCTCTTTCTTTTTGTCTTCTTTATAAACACACACTTTGGGAAAAATAAAAACTAATCCCAAACTGATTTCAGATGTATGCAGCTTTCCAGGATACAAGTCAATCATATCTGGTAACAAATAACCCAGACAGCTGACTAAACAATTAAGAAAACGCATCTTTAAAAATTCCCTGAATGCTGAGAAGTACCTGCCTCTGCGAACTGACAGAAATCCAAGCTGGATTTCAACGCTCAGGCTGCGCCAGCGATTCTTTGGAGAAACTCGCTGCCGTCGCGGAGCTGAGCCGCTTCTTCCCGCGCAGAGGCTTGGGGCGCGTGGACGGACGCAGACCGCGTCACCCACAGCACGGTGCTGGCTCTCCTGCTCGACCCCGCGCCCTGACACCTCCTTCTGCGGGGAAACCTGCAAAGAGCCGCCTGGGCCCCTGCCTCCTGGAAACAGTCCTCACCCAGCACTTTACCCTTGCAGTTGTTCAGTGGACGGCAGCAAACTGTGTTTTAGTGTCAGCAACACTGAAATGTTTGATTTGGGTCTGTGTATCCTAATGCCAGCAGGAAACATTTCTGTGGACTGCTGTACACACACCCCGGGGTGCAGCGCTGCCTCGGGCCTGCACAGAGAAACACCAGCGCTGCCGAACCGTAGGACACAGAGTTTGTCCCCTGCCTTGCCCTCAGCGAGGCGTTTCTGAGCAGGAGCATCTCCCAGCAAGCTGTGAAGCTTGGCTGCTTGAACCCGTTGAAACTTGGCTTAACTCGTTCTGTGTTTGTGACCATCACTAACGTGGAAGCGTGAGGCACTCCTGGGGGTCTCAGGAAATGACCAGGGGATCCACAGCAAACAGCACTAAGCCAGCTCTGTTTCAACCTCTTACTTTACATTAGAAGATGAACACAACCAGGGGTCGGAGGACAGCAGGGCATCCCTCTTTCAGGGCACCCCTCTTTCAGGGCACCGACCAGCCTTGGGGCTGTCAGGGATTCGGAGAAGCGCCCTCGTCACAGCCCCGACAGGAGCGCCCGGGTGCTTC